ACCATGGAGAAAAATATTTTTAACATCCATCTGGTATAAGGGCCAACGATGAGCAAGAGCGACTGCAAGAAGAGTACGAACGGTGAGCATCTAAGCAACAAGAGTAAATATCTCCTCATAATCAATACATTGTTGCTGAGTAAAACCTCGAGCCACTAAATGAGCTTTTCGACATTCAATAGTACCATCAGGACGATACTTGACCTTATAAACTCATTTACTGCCAACTAAATAGATGTTAGGGGGACAGTGAGCAACAAGTCAGGTATGTGTTTGCTGAAAGGCCTGAAATATCTCAGTCATAACCTGTCGCCACTTTGGAAATTGAACGACCTCTTGAAAGAACTTTGACTCAACTGTAGTATGAATGACAGCAAGAAAATTATGAAAGATAGATGAATAGGAAGTAATCGAAGCATACCATGCAGGCATAACATGTGGGCGTTTGCCTCGACGAAGAGCAAGAGGAACCTCAGGCGATGGAGATGCTGGCGTAGGTGCATGGAGATCAACAATATTTTCTGGAGTGAGTGTCGTGTCTACGGGATAGGGATCAGATGGTGGAAGAGAAGGCTCAGGTAAGGGAGAGTCAACAGAAGGAGATGAAGAGATTTCAGGTAGATCTCGAAGGAGAACTGAGGTAAAGAAGTGGGTGACGCAGCTGGCAGAGAAGCACGATTAGTAGTGTGAAGAAAATTGAAATCATCGGAAGTAAAATAAAATGGAGAATCCTCTTCGAACTGAACATGTCGAGATATATGAACTCGACGAGATGCGAGATCATAACGATAACCTCGATGTTCCGAACTAATTCCTAAATAGACACAGAGAATAGCTTTAGGAGATATTAATGGCATGAGTAGCAATGACAATAAAAAACGCGAACCAAATCATAACGATGAGGATGAGTATAAACACGACTATGGGGAGTAGCATCGGAAAGAGAGCTAGATGGAGTGATATTAATAGCATCAGTAGCAATGAGAATGGCTTCAGCCCAGAAACGACGAGGAACAGAGTAAGAAATAAGCATGGATCGAGCGGTATCGAGAATATGACGATATTTACATTCAACAATATCATTTTGCTCATGAGTGTAGGGACATGACTATTGAAAGATAGTCCCATTAGAGGACATGATAGAGCGTATGGTAGAGGATAGGTACTCTTTGGCATAGTCAGAACAAAAAACTTTAATACGAGCTTGCCATTGAGTGAAGATCATCACAGTGAAAGCTTGATAAGCAGCAATTACGTCAGAGCGATTTTTAAGTAGGTAGACCCATGTATAATGAGAGAAATCATCGATAAACTAACATAATATAAGTAGCCAGATGAAGAAGACAGAGGAACTGGCCCCCAGATATCAGAATAAACCAAATCAAATAAGAAAGTGGAAACAGATGTATTGGTTGGAAATGGTAGAGCAGTAAATTTAGCCAATTTACAACCAGTACATGACTCAATATGAGAACGAGAGGATACGGGACCAAGTACTCCAAACTAGATAAGACTTTTCATCCTTTTCTGAGACACATGACCAAGTCGTCTATGCCACAAATCCTCGAAAAGCAATGTAGATGATTTTGAACTTACAGAAGCAACAAGAGAACGTAGACGTATGGACTCTGGAAGGTGAAGATGTTCTAGAAAATACAGTTTGTGTCTCCTCCGACCGGCCCTAATAGTCTTGCCCGTCTGTGGATCCTGCACAATACAAGTATCAGAAAAAAATGAGACAAGTAGGCCATCCATACATAAAAAGCTAACAGAAATTAAATTCAAACACAACTGAGGATCCACATAGACGGGGCCAAGAGTTAGACAACTAGATGGGTCAGTTTGTAGGGTGATAGAACTATACTGAGTGATAAACAAAGGTTGCCCAGCAGCCGTGTAGATAGGGGGAAGAGAAGAGGAAGTGAAGATAGAAGATAAGAGAGAGGCATTACGAGTCATATGAAAAGAACATCCAGAGTTAAAAATCCAGAGATCATTCATACCAGAGACCAAAAGGTTGGCCGAAGAACTAGCAAGACGTATACCAAAGAGTTGTGCAGTAGATGTAGAGGCTCTATGCTGAAGAGCATCAATTTGATAGCGAATATCAGAGAGTTGTGCAGCAGATGGAAAGGTGGTATGCGGAAGAGCCGCAATTTGACGGCTAATATTTGCAATAGCTTGAAGAGCCTTAATTTAACGGTGAATATCAGAGAGTTTTACAGCAGATGGAGAGGTGGTATGCTAAAGAGCCGTAATTTGACGGCTAATATTTGTAATAGCTTGAATGGTAGGGTCTGAAGTGGTAGATAGAATAACATTGACCGATAATCCTGGTGCACTAGAGGATCGGGACAGAGGGGATCGCTGACTACGGCCAGTTCCTGAGGAACGTAACTCAGTATGAAGCTGAAAACATATCTCAAAGCTGTGTCCCTCCTTCTTGCAATAGGTGCAAAAGAGCTTAGACCGAGTCTGAGAAGCAGGTGCTAGTGAAGAGGCCATAATAGCAGCAATTCAAAGTTCAAGATAATAATCCTTGAGCGAAACCCAAATGTTTAAAAGAGAACCTGAAGGTTAATGTAGAAACCCGAAGGTTAAAATGTAAGAACTCGAAGGTTATATTTGAACCCGAATGTTATACATGACTGTCAAATCTGAGAAAAAAAGAAACAAACGGCGACCAAGGTGACCCGAAGATCGGCCGGATCTGATGCTCACGCCGGAGACTTACAACGAATTAATACCGATGTTAAGACGTTGAGACGTCGACATGAATTGAAACTGAGATGTCGTTACTGACTGTGAAACGGCAATGCCGTTTGTTTGAGACCGTGAGATGGCTTGAAACGACGATGCCGTTAATTTGAGACCAAGACATGGTCTTAAAACAGTGATGCCGTAAATTTGAGATCGAGAAACGATCTTGAATACGAGAACGTGAAATGCGTTAAGAGACCGCAAAACGGTAATGTCAAAAATCTGGCAAAGGAATGCAAAAAAAGAAGTTAAATGGTTGCAAAGCAGCAAGGCCAAGATTTGGCAAAAGAACGCAGAATCGTTAAAAAAAATTTATTGGAAGGGAAATAATAACTCTAGCTCTGATACCATGATAAAGTAAGAGAGCGAGTCTTGGGTAAATTTCCCTTAAGTTGAATATTGAGTGTGCACATATATTTATACAAGTAGAGGATGGTGAGGAGTGTTCTCACAACCAATGTGGGACTAAAAACTCACTACTAACACTATTATCAACACTTATAACTAAACATAAAGCTTGAAAGAACTCTAATACATACACACCAAGTTGGGTCGTGCTCGAAGTTTGCCCAGAAACTTCAAGCCTATACAAAGATATCCTATTGAGTTAGTGCAAGTGTATGAGCTAGGACGAGGGACATCTTAAGGAACTTTCTTACCTCCATCAGTACCATGGCTATGATTTATGCCCTGAAAGAGAATATCAAGACAGTTACCAAACGGGTTACTTTAAGGGGGTGTTAGTCAATTGGGACATTTTCATGCAAAATGGGATAATTGTTAAAGTGGAATAATATTTTCCTAGTGGGATATTTTAGTGGGATAACTAGGAACAATTTTGTGAAGCAGGATATTTTGATAAAATAACGTGGGATAAATTTTTATAATCATGAAGTATATATTTATGCATTTTGAAGATATAAATACTATTTATGTATTTTAAACTTACTATTATTAATTGATAATTGCTTACAAGAATGTTCGTTACTATTAAATAACTTTTGGTTAGACTATAAGATATTGACAATTATTATTATGATGATGGTCTAATGATGGTGATAACCATAATAGGAAATAAGTAAAGAAAAAAATAAAAAATAACAAAATAAATACGAGTTCTAGTTTTTTACCACATAGTTCCAAGCTAAAACTTGGAATAATTTGAGAGACTAGAACTCTCATTTTTGTATAGAAAAATAAAAAAAGTAGGATAATTTTGTACAATTATCCCAATTCTAGTTTTGTTAAAGTTCTGCTTGACTAACACTGTAAAATTTTATTCTAGTTTTAGTTCTATGTGACTAACACCTTAAAATTTTGTTCTAGGTTTAGTTCTATGTGACTAACACCTTAAAATTTTATCCCACAGATTATCCCAGTTCTATTTTTAAGTTCTAGGTGACTAACCCCCCCTAAGAGTAAACCATACACACATACAAGGGCAATATTGAAGTCCTGACAACGATGATGCGAGACTTAGGCAATCACCCTTGCATCAGGAAGAACCATTGCTGCAAACCATTTGATTTTTGGGAGCCTGGAACATACCCTGAAAGCAGGATCTCAATAGAGGTACACAAACAATACACCTACAACATCAATGTTTCCTACTTAGCTCAAAGGGCAAAGGGCTATGCTTTCATCGTACATGCTGTCCTTTATAACTCCAAGTTGGATAAAAGAGATAGAGTCTAAGGAAGTCAAGGACACATCGACGATGAGGAGCCAAGGACCTATTATGATGTGCATAAGTTGAATGCACATATCTCCATTCCTTAGTGTACTAAAAGTGAGTTCTTGGCAACTTCATTGCAGAAAGCATCATTACTTGAAACGATAACAGTATTCAAGAGTGAAAACCAAACTTGGTAAGATAAATTAAGGCAGAATGCGCCAAAGTTGAAACAATAAACACATTTGAAATTATATGTTATAGATTTTACTCCATATACGCCATTGCTAACCTTTCATGTGTACTTAAATGTAAAGCTCAAACATTGCATTAACCCGAACGCCAAGAAAATTAGTGAATTCTAAAGATACTGGAAAATCAGTTTTCATTCAGGACATGCAACAAACACCTTCAACGCATTACAAAGAAAAGGAAAATAAGCAAAATAAAGATCTTTGTCTTGTTTATAAAACCATGAATAAATATCCCAAAATTCAAATAAAGGATCAGAAAGTTATAAAGCAGAAAAGGAAATGAAAATTGAATATCAAAGAAATTAGTTGGTCACCTCGTGTAGTTGAGGAAGGAAAGTGAGAAGCAAAAGATAATGATTAGATTTGAAGGCTTTAGTTTTTACTTTGAGTGGGCAGTTTCAATTGTCAACTCTTCAAGCAGGCCCGCAAGCTGAATTCGGCAAGCCCAATAGGGTATTGTTCAGCTGCCTAAAGATAATTGTTAATATTATTTCAATAAAAGCCTGTAGTTAAAAAAAGAGACTTAATTGCACTTAAGTACCCTATAGTTTCCTCTACTTTGCACTTACATACCCTCTCTTATTTTTTTAAATTTCCACTTTAATACCTCCAGTTTTACAAACATGAGAATTTTCTCTCACACACATGCTAATTTAAAATCTTAATATATTTTTTTATGTCGTGGAGGAGAAAGTGCTAGAGTAGTAATAATATGCCTTTGAACAGTTAAAATACATATTATATCATATGCTTAATTATTAATAAAGATTCTATTGTTCTACATATAATTTGGGATCAATCATATTATTCTTATATTATTCTTATAAATTGTTTTGTTAGATCACACACAGTGATAGTCACTTGCTTGAAGAGATTTCTTAAACTTGTGCTTAACTTATAACTACTAAAGGATAATTTAGTTATAACAGGTTATTATGCAAGACATTGACATGTGAGATGTGATCATGGGTCTTAACCACAGAGAATGGGGATTCACATGGTGTATGGCATAAGCACAAATGTTGATGTATGTAAGACTAGATCACATTTGTATTCTCTAGGATGAGTCACCTAAGAGATAGAGAATTTAGATCTTTTACTCAGCCCCTTTCACTTGATGATATTGTCACTACTAATTTGATAATTTAATATGTTTTGATGTGATGGTTAAACTTATTTTACAAGTGCTACATAATCTGAAACATTGAGTTACTAGATTTATTTAGGGCATGTTTGGATTTTAATGGGGTTAAGGGAAAGTAGGAGAGAGAAAAGAAGGAAAGGAAATGGAGTTCCCTTCCCCTTGGTTAATTGCACTCAAATTTAGGATAGCAAATTTTCATTATTAGGGGGTGAACTAAGGGAAATTAGGGTCAACAACATCACCTCCTAAATGTTCCCAAGCAACGCGAATAGTTCTCCAAACTTTCATTTTCCCTTATTCCCCTCAATTCAAACAAGCCATTAGAGAAATGATGGACATCTAGATAGGATCCAGTATGCTCATTATGATGAGTTAATTTATGATGCATATCCCATGAAATTATTAAGTTCCCATTAGTGGGTGCACTAGTAGAAATTTGTGAATCCTTGATGAAAAATCTCATTAAGGAAGCTTAGTTTCTCGTCAAATGTGTATCCTTGACGGGCCCCCATCAGCAAATTTCCTATCAAGGATAGGCGTTCTTGACAACACATCCCTAACCATAAAGATTGTTTGTACATCTGTAACGGCAAAAGTTACCAAAATGAAGAGACAACCTATATATACCAAAGATCCACACATCCATAATCATAATATCTCTCATACATCCAAGATACACATCACAAAAGATCGAATCTAATCAAACAAGATAAATCCATAAAATACCCATAATAAAGACATGATCATAATACCCACAAACAAATCTAGGATATAAAATACTATGAAATCCTAAAACATGTCACAATCCCCACAAACAAGTCTAGGATATAAAATACTACAAAACAAATATGCAAAAATATATATATCTCCTATACAAGTATTTCTAAAATACAAGATGATAAAACTCACTACTTGAGGTTTTCCTCCTCGTGCATGTCATCATCGTTGGCGGAGTCTTCAGGCCTATGACTGGTTCTCCCCACAACAACATCTTCATACTAACAGCAAAATAAATTCATATTAGTGATGTGTAATTTTATTGTATTCTGCAAGTGCAAAGCTTTCGTTGTATACTTAAACTAGGTTGCTTAGACTAACTCAACTAGGTTTCTAAACTAGATCTTTTATTTAATCTCTTTATTTAGTAGAACCCTAAAAGCATAAGATAACAATTCAGTCAGAAACTATAAGTTTTCCATTAGTTAATCCTCATCTTTTAAATTAATTAGTCTAGGCTTTTTACTACTAGGGTTTAATCTCCTAGGTATAGGTCATGCCTAATTAAAGTCTATAACCTATCAAATTATAACTAATCCTAGCATTTATTAATATAAACTAATCAATTACTTTTCTTAACCTAAAGAGATCTTTTTATTAATCTAGATTAGTTGCCTAGCTTCCTTATCCTAAGCTATCTAAGGGTGATTAGCTACTCATGATTAATTAAATAGAAAAGAAGATTAACGAAGAACTAAAAAAAACGAGAAGAAAGAACAAGAAAAATAAGAAAAAAAATAGAAAATAAAGTTAAGAAATTAAACAACTCACCAAATTGAAAAAATTTAAAAAAAAACTTGAACTCCAAAATAGTAAACAAGAACAAGAACTTTATTGAATTCTCCGGAATTGAATATGTAAAATATGTTGGACCCTAATGCCACTAGGAAAGAACCCTGGGGGGGTGAATAGGGTTTATGCTAATCTAATTCGATTTAAATGCCAATTAAAACTTATTAACAAATATATTCTTACAAGATAGATATACAACTAATTATGAGCAAGAATATGCAATATGAACAAAGGGCTATATCCTAGCAATAAGATATACTATGAGATATATGCAAGGATATACAAAACACTCAAGGGTAAACAAACTAAACTAGATAGTAGGCTATATAAATAATGAGCAGTATGCAAAGGTGATATAAGATATGAACATAAAAAATAAGTGCGCTAATGCAATCACAAACAAACGATATGTTCACAAGGTTCGGTCCCCATGACCTACGTCTCCGCTCCTCACCTCGAGGAGATCTCCACTATCACACCGGGTTTTTTACGCTTACCCAAAAAACGTTTACACCTCATAATACGGTTTTCTAGCTAACCAAAAACTCTACACACTCGGTTATCAAGTCAACCGACAACTCTCATAAATCCTCACAAAGTACATACACAAACCACAACCTCAAGTGTTGGTCCTCACGTATCGACTCCCTCAAGTTTTCGGAATTATCACCTCTCACTAGGCCACCGAAGCCACTCCTCTCGGTATCGACTCCGTCCTCACCACACACTCCTCTCGGTGTACAAGTGTATTACAGAGTAAACTTCACAATTTAGGCACACAAATATAAATTTGTTCTCTACAATAGATGAGAAGACAATGTAGGCTCACACTCAATGTCACACAAACCCAACAACCCAAATTATACAATGTATGAAAATACAATAAGCTCAATGGTTGTGTGTGTAAACAATGAGTAAATCAAAACTAAACTCAATTATGAAAATCTAGCTTATAAAGATTATAATCAATAAACAATGTAAATACAAAGCTAGAAATTGAGTTTAGAAAACTTCTATATAGATAACAAGAGAGAGGGGGAAGAGTTGAATGCTCAAACACCAATAGATGATCTCCACTTGCTCTTGTGAAATTCTCTTCACAAATGAAACTCTTAAACAAGGCTTAAACACCTTAAACAAACTTAAACAAACTTTAAACCTTTGTTAAACTTTCTTAAAACATTATCTTGAGTTGCATGAAAGATGAGAGCAAGGGGGTATTTATACCCATTCAGAACTTCAGCAAAAACCTAACTGAAAAGACAAAAAAGCCCCCAGAAAACACTACTGGAAACTAGCTGTTACTGTGCAACGGCTCTCTGATAAGTCGACTAATGAGTCGGCTTATATGAGTCGACCCAACAGAAGAAAAATCACAACTCCGCTGTACTTTGTGAGTCGACTAAACATGCATAGACCAGATTTGCACAGAAAACTCAACTTAAAAACATGTTTAAAAATATCAGATAAATTTTAAAAATTATGAAACTTTGGAAGATGATTGTAGACATGATAATAAACATGCTAGAAAAAATGGTTTTCAAAAAGGACCTCCCAAATGAGAAATATCATCATTTTGCAAAATAATCCAAAACATAAAAATATGAACACATGAGTTTTGACATTTTAGCTTAACCATGTTTTGAAATATTACAAAATGATTTTGTAGACTTAATAAAAGATGTATATGATTATTGTTAAGTTCATAAACCTAGAAAATAATATTATCTCAAAATTGCATATTCTATGCAATATATTCTTAAGCAAAATAGAGAATGAAACATATGATTATATATATGAATGTAAATTTGTTTTATGTCTATGTAGTTAAACCAAAACACAATAATAAATATATAATCACATATTTATAAGCATGAAAACTTAAAACTATGTATGTATATATATATAACTATATATATACATAGAAACATATATGTATATGTATGACTACATATACATAGAAACCAAAAACTAAAATATGTATATATATAATATAAACCTAAACTAATGTTACCCAAGCTTGATCTTGATCTTCAATAAGCTTGACTTGGTACACATAGCGGTTGAAGCTAGAACTTGGATCTTCAACTTGAATTACATAGGCTTCACCCACTATTCTGCCAACCTCCATTGGATATGATTGTTGAAGCGCAATTCCATCCATCCTCTAACATGTTGTTTGTCTACAATTGATATACAAAAATACAAACACTAGACAAACAATATTAGAAGTAAATTGTTTGTAAATCATTATCAAAACAAGAAGGCCAACAATCTCCCCCTTTTTGATGATGACAAACTATTTACAAAAAGATATATGCATGAAAGGAAATTAATATTGTAATTTATAATTATCATGCATATAAACAAGAAAGACTATACTCACAATATTTCTCCCTCTTTGACAACATCAAAAAGTGAAAAACACCAAGAATGAAGAGAGCGAAAGCTCCCCCTACATATAAGCATGGGTGAGTATAAAATAAGTATAGGGATTTCTCCCCCTATCAAAATGTCTTATGAAATATATGCATTAATGACCAAGACAAATATATGTGAGCAAGCATAGATGAAAGCATGCTAAACAAAACTCACATACAAAAGAACAATGAGAACACATATAAATATATCAATATGGAAATAGTGTCTTATTACTCAAACATAAAAATAATGTAAAAATAGATTTA